GCCTCCCCTCCGAGCGCCCTCGCCTTCTCTTTGCTTTGCTCTCCGCTCTTTTGCCGTCTTTTCGCTGCCTTTAGCGGCCGCGCCGCTGCTGGGAAAGTTTTGCTGTTGTGCGCAGAGAGTACACACTGATATTGTGTGATATTGTCACTTGTGTGACAAGTGACAGCCCCGCCACCGTGCAGTGTGCGAGCTGCGGGCCTCGTTCCACACCGACGGGAAAGCCTTCCGTGCCGCTCTTCGGTCACCCAGCGGCTGCTGGCAGGGAAGGAAGGGCCGCCCGAGTGAGGGGCAGCCCCCGGCTGCCGGCTCCCCTTCCTTGCCCCGCTCCTCTCTGCCCCTCTCTGCTCATCTCCAGCCGCTCCCACCCGGAGCAGGTCGCTCCCTTCCCACACGAGGCCACCACCGCTGCACAGGCTTTGGGGACAGGTCTGTGCCCGGAGGAGTCCCAGGCACAGGAGCTGGGGTGGGGCTGGGCTCTCCCCAGCCGCTTGCTATGCACACCTGCAGGGGAGAAAACCTGCTCGTCTCAGCGCTCAGCACTGAAGGGACAGGTCACAGCGCAGGTTCCCCAGCAGGTCCCTGGGCTCTAGAGTTATAGCCAGGTGAGCGGCCTTCCATTGTGTTTTGTTCCCGACATCCCTGAAGCGTGCCAGATGCTGCCTTCTGCCCCCGAGTCATCTCCGGTGCGTTCCCGGTGGTGTCAGAGCGCTGTGGCCTCAGAGGGGCTGCGGGAGCCCCTCGGTGCGTCCTGTTCCACCAGCCGAGCTCACTGCGATCCCACGGGAAGGCTGTGCCGGGTGTCTGCCTGCCATCCAGCAGTGCTGCAGGGGGCAGGAGCATCTCTGCACAGTCAGGCGAGGGCTGCTGAGGCTGGGGCTGCCACCGTGCCACAAACCTGCTGTGGCTCGGGGATCCTGCTCTTGTCACAGCTGCCCCTGGGCTGGAGGAGCTGGCAGGACACCGCTCCGGTGTGGTGAGCTGAGCACCACGGAGATATTGAATGCCAGGGTCTGCTGAACGGGAAATTAAAGCGAGCTAGTGGGTGGTTATCACGAGTGAGCTCTGACCTTCTACAAAGTGACTACGGTTCCTGTATATTTTCAGGAAAGCACTTGCTGCTGGTGGAACCGGGCTACCATTCTCTTTGATGCAAAGTTGCAGTGCTGGTGGCTCTGCCAGACCTCTCCATCAGGAGAGCAGTGCTGGGGTGGGAGAGCAGACCAGAGGGGTCAGAGCAGAGCAGCACCCACGCACCCCACGAGCTTGTTGTGCTCCTCTCTGTCTCCCTCAGTGCCCACAGCTGCAGTGCTGGGAGCAGTGGATATCACCTCTCTGTCCTCCCCCAGCAGTGGCCTGGGAATGAAAGGGGGATTTTTCATACTGTGCTTCTGTCCCACTACCAAATGCTTTGTGTCTCTCACTGCCAGTAATGCCAAACGCTGTAATTCCTGTTTTCTTCTCCTAACAAAATATCACGCTTCGGTTTCCTGACTGTGCTCCCCAGCTCAACCTTCCCAGGTAAGCTGCTCTCTCCATCTCCATTTATTTACAGGCCAGACAAACTCTACTCCATCTCTGACTCTATTCTCTTATCCTCTGGACCTCTTGAAACCTCCATGCCCTTGTATATCCACTCATTACTGCTATTTCCAACCTCTAACTGCTTCCCTCTTGCCTTTTCCTGCTTTTTTTCCCCAGCCCATGAATACAACCATCTATTTTTGCCATCAGCTGCTGCTCTCTGAGGGCTGCAGTCCTGCTGGGGTAGTTTTGGGGAGATGTGGTTTTGAACACCAAGCACCTTTCTCTGCAGCATTGAGGTGCTTTCAAAACCACCTTAAAAATGGCTCCAGCATGAGCTGGGTTTGGCAGGTCTGCAGCAATTTGAAAGCAATCACATTCAAGTCTGGAGGGAGGAAGCTTGGCTGAAATCGCCCCCGAGTTACCTATTCCTGAGGACCTCAGCAGTACAATAACCTCTTTGAGGGATTCCAGGGCCAGATCCATGAAAACTCTCTTTCAGTGAATGAGAACCTGATGACATTCTCATTTCTGGGCTGAATATTTTGAACTGATGCATTATGCACCAGACTGAAAGAATCCTTCTTGAGGGAATAAAACTGTTCTTTTAGAAAGCAGGGGGAAGGATTCCTGTTCTAGGAAGAGGTAAGGTGAACACTTTCAAATCCAATTCTCCAAATAAAGGATTGCAGCTCAGTAGAAGACATGAATAACCAGCTGCCTGATGAGTAGCGTGCAGAATACCTGCTCTTATTTGCTTTCTGCTGTCTGTAAACTACATCTGATAGAACAAGCAGAAATATAATTCATTGTTTCATGGCTTTCTGTTGTAGAAGGGCCTTTTTCTATTCTTCAGAAGTGAAATCTTGTTTTTGCTTTCATTCTTCTGCTACTTGTAACAGGGTTCTGCTGTTTCCTTTATTCTTGAGGTTTCTGCATTATTGCTGATGAACATTAGAACATTTGTCTTGTCCCTTCCATAAGGGAGCAGCCTTAGGGATGATGCAGTCAGTGTTTGCCCTTGTCAGAGCAGGGACTGGGTTCACAAGCCCAGTTTCCATCAGTTATATTCCCTGCATCCTGGTAGCCTGTGGCTGTTGCAAAATCCGGAGGAACTGTGGTTGGTAAAATCTGTGATAAATCTCAGTAAGAAGTTCACTTTCAGCTGTTGAGGCACACCACAGATGTCTTGTAGGACATCTTTCCATTTGAGCCCAGGTGGTGAGAAAGGTGTAGACACTTCCTGCCAAGGCAGGACCAAGGTGAAGGCATGGTGAAGGTGTGGGGTGAAGGGGTGAAGCAGCTGCTGCTCTCTCTGTGATGGAGAGAGCCGACAACAGTGCTGTGTTTTTGGGCTCAGTTAGAGGAATAGCTGTGCACACCCCCTGGGCTTGTGCTGCTCTCCAAAACCTGAGTGGGAGTGCTGATTGGGAGGTCTTAACTTCCTCACCTTACAGAGACCAGCTTAAAACAAGTGTCATGTGGGAAGTGTAGGTTTCTCGATTTTTTATTCTCTTTGGGAAACATCTGGGTTCCTTTAGCAGCCAGAAAGCAGAGGGGTGCTGCAGGCATGGTGTGGGTGTTGTAGAGGCAAGTGTGATGCTGAATATTTTGGCTTTTTGTGGAGGATCCAACAAATCATCATCCAGGATGGAGGATGAAAGAGCATCCTGACAATACATTGACACCCCATATTTCAGATTAGTGCATGCTAATGTCATTCAGGCCCCTGTCAAACCTTCATAGGTCTGTGAAGCAGCAGGGACTGCTGGGGGACAAAATTGTCTCAAATCTAGAATTTCAGAGGCAGGACCTGTCTTTAGTTTAGCAGGTAATAAGTGGCCAGTGTTGGCATTGGGATGCTGACTAAAAATTTGACATGTGTGCTGTGGCTGCTACTGCCTGGCAGAGTGTTTATGTCTCAAGTGAAATGTTTATTCCTGTTTTGAAGAGGGAACTAGCAACAGAACAGAGTGATGTGTACTCTGCGTATTGGAAGACAGATCTGTCAGGCAGGTTGTCTCACCATATCTTATTTAGATAAGAATATAGCTTCAAGGCATGTTGGCCTGTTAATAAAGATGTTGTGGAAAAGGGAAGCCACATCACAAGGTATCAACCATGTGTAGTTAACACCCAAACTATCGTAAGATGTCTCAAGAGAACTTTGATTTTTTTTTAAAAAAACCACCATCTCTTAAACACTGAAGAAAATTACAGATTATTCACATGAGGAACACCTCTTTTCTTAAATCATATGTTAAGCCATGATTCCTCCATGCTGCCCAAGTCCTCCATGTCTGTCTGGATGAGTTCATAGTAACCCAGTATGTTAATTTGGCACTGCAGGCTTAACAGACAAGTGAACAAGCCATTTCTCATGCTTGTTTCTTATATAGTATTAACTTAATTTCCAAAACAGTGGCTTCCAAATTTCCAGATCAAATTTACTCTGACTCAGTCTTTTCCTAGCTCTACTTAGAGCAGTTTGATGTGCACAGTGGTGCTGGGGGAGTGTTACAGGCTGTGCTAAGGACAAGCAGTCATGCCCATGTTGTTGTTTATAAAGTTGGGATTTATTTAGGTCTTTGCTCAAAACTTGGGAGCAGCTTCATTTCTCAGTTAAATAACAATGATTACAAACTTCAAGCCTGAAACAGGACAGGAGAGGTAAATAAGAGAATTTTAATCTTAGTAATGAAGATAACACCAATGGAGGTAGGCACTCTCACTACTGTTCAGCTGCCTTTGTAGGCTGAGTCCCCTGGATTTTACACACTTACTGTGTAAAAAAAATAAAAGTTATTTTGCACACTTACTGTGTAAGTGGCTTTTATTTAGCTCTTCTTGTTTTGTTTTATATAAAATCCCTCTGAAAAACAATTAGTTAAGATGGCATGTTGGAAAAAACAGTTTGGATTTTGTCCCCAGCTCCTAAACAAAATTTAATAGGAAACTTTTGGATTTGACCTCTGGATAGTATCCCCCTCTTTGGCAATCCTGCTAATCATCACTGACAGGTATTTATTTCAGAAGGATTGCTTTGCACAGACAGAACTTGGCAGAGGGTTTGCCCGTGCAGAGAAGTGGAACAATAGGAAGTCAGTTGTTTGGGGCTCTTTAAATAGCATTTTTTCCTCCCCTCTGCATTACAGCTGAAGGTCTCAGCAGGGCACACCTCCTGGTTGGGAGAGGCCCCTGTCCATCAGGCTGCTAGGGACAGGGGCTGGCTGGGTGCTCACAGCCACCTGAGATCTGACAGGTGGTGTCTGTAGGTGACATGTAGGATCTGCTGCTGGCAGGCCTGGCCTGGACCCTCTTCCAATCTCCTGTCCCTGCAGGGACCAGCCTGTGTGAGCTTCACTGGGGAAAGGGTCAGAGAAATGAGAGGACTTTCCTGAGAGATGTCATACAGTGGCAGAGGTCTCCAGTCCCCTCCATAAGCATCTTAGAAACCAGTCATCCCTGAACAGGCATGAGTGCATTGGAAAGGATAAACATCAAGGCAAGGTCAATACGTGCCTGGCCCAAGCCCTCCCAAGTCCAAAAATAAACCACAAGGTGATGTATCAGTGGCTGTTCACCCCTCCTTTGCTCACTGGTGGACACAATGCTCTGAGGGCAAGGCTGCACTGCTGCCTTTGTGCAGGCACTTCCATCAGTGGGTGCTTTGCACACTGTCTGAATTACTCTGGCTGCACACACATTGGGTGTTACTGGTTTGGGGTAGGACAGGTGACCTGGCAGTGCAGAATTAGGGGATGTGTGGAGGCTGGGGTGTGTTGTAATTTGGTTAAGAAGAAGTTGTGCACTAAGAGTGCACGGGAATATCTGGCATACAGCAGGTGAGCTCCATGCTTGTTTGCAGGACCAGGTTTATAGCGGCCACATCAAGTGCTCACCAGTCCTCCTCCTGTTGGTGCGAGCTCAAAGGACAATTCCTCAGCCAACACCCACGAGCATCATGTTCCACACGGGCCAGGGAAGGCTGTGAACCCTTCACTGGGCTCTGGTTTATTTTGAGTTGTGATTTCAATGTGAATTGGACTAGGTTTGCTCAAGCACCATGAAGTCATGCCTGCTTGGATCCATCCTTGGTTTAGCTAGAGACAGTGCACTTCAGGGCTTCTTTTTCCTTCTGTGGGTGGAAGATGGTCAGCATTTAATCTGATACTTCTCTTGCCTTCTCCGTGATGAAGATTTTTTCCTGTCCCCAGTAACAATTTTGATGGAATGGAGAATGTGCTTTGAAGGTATCAACAAGCTATCCCTGAAATTCCTGTCTTGGTAGGAATTTTAGCTTGCTGGGCCACATGAAAAGCCAGAGGAGTTGGCTTGGTCATATGCAGAGAACCTTCAAGGAAACCTGAGAATGTTTCTGGTGGCTGAGTGAGAGGAGCAGTGGGTCTGGAGAGCCTTCTCTGCAGGGGTTTTGGATGCCCAGAGTGCTGAAATACCTAGGCCAGTCCTAGGTACACAGAGAGGCCTGGATGGCCACCTCTCTGTGGCTGGAGGATTTTGCAGACTTCTTGTCTCTAGTTGGAGCAGATGCTTTTACCACATCAGAAGGAATTGTAGATTTAAAGCTACAGCTTGGCTGAATGAACAAGACAATAGATAATTGGCCCAGGAGAGTAAGAATGAGAAGTGTGGTCACCCTTTTGTTTACCATTTGCAGAAGGAAGCCATTTCATTTCCACTTTCATCACATCCTGGAATACCAGAACGCATTTGATACAATATAAAATGTGTTCTCAAAGCATTGAGAATAACTCAGGTGAATAATCAAAATCAAACATGTAAGTAAGAACTAGCTTGTATAGACTGGCTTGTTAGAAGGCAGCATGGTGAAGATTCAGAGGTTCTATGGAAGTACCTGATTGCAAAGATCAGATTGGCTTCATAAAAATATAATTTTTTTCCTATAAACAAAGACCCTGTGGCAGTTTGAAACTTTCTTTGCAAGAAAATGGATGTGGTGAATTATTAGCTGCTGGATACTAAATATAAAAGAGCATCTGTTGAATCTTTCTATGCTATTTTCTATACCCTTTGCTCTTTATATTGGTTAGAATAATTATTCCTGAAGTCTCAGGGTTTTTTTTAAGTTAATTGTTATGTGAGGGAATTAGTTGGTTTTCAGTTTTACTCTTGCCCTGACTGTGACTTAGCTGCATCCTCATTTATGTAAATGAAGTTTTATATTGCTGTGAGTAGTATAAGTATTCATTAAGTGGAGATTTAAATTTTTTTTTAAACAAGGATGGCAAAATTAGAAGGTTAGCAAAGTAATATTATTTATCTTGCAAACAGGTATTTACAGAATTTGTGATTAAATAATGATCCTGGCCTTTAAAATTTAATCCACACATCTAAAGCCATCATGAATACTGAGTATCATGAGTGTCCTGGTTGTTTTCTTACAGCTCAGGCTGCAAGAGAGGAGCATTTGTTACATTGGTTCTACATTGTAAAGACAGTGAAACATTATTTAAGAATCTAAGAAAGATGATTGTGGGATGCCAGATTCTAGAACTGGAAGAGCAGCATAAATGACTTAAGTGTGCAAAATTACAGAAGGGCTTTTTCTTTGAAAGCTTATTTGTTTTTCCATTTTATGTGCCATTCTAATAAAGTATCCTGCCTCTCTCCCAGTTCTTGTTCCTCTTGCATTTATTTTGTCCTTAGCTCATTCAAGGTTATATGCATTAACATATTTTTTTTTTCCATGATTAAATATATGTACAAACCCATTAAATTGTGTGATTTAATAAATAGGTTTGAAATGATACATTTTACTAATGTGGGACACTCTCCACTTATGAATGTGTCTGAAAGCAGTTCTTTGGGCATAGTGCCTTTTTAAACTTCTGTTCCTTATCTGTCCTTCAGAGCAATCAGTGTGTGGGAAGGTCTGAAACATTTATTTTGGCATTTACTTCAACAGTATGATTATGGCTGGTTGATTTGATTTCCTCAGTAACCAAAAAAATCCCCCAAAGTAATTTCTCCTTCATCATCTAATTAAATGCAAACACTACATGTGTTTTCTGTAGGTGATCAAAATTCATGGCATGAATGTCAACCCTTGTCTGAAACCTGCCAGTCTGTAGCAATGGAAATGGGATATTTAGTCTGCTTCAGCATTTAACATGATGTGCTGGTTTCAGGTGAAATTTGGGTAAGATGTTGTGTCAGCCTTACTGGACTGACCCCTAGAATATTACAAACTGTTTATTAGTGAAGCTATTAAGTTTCCACCTGCTAAATATTAGAGAAAGGGAAAACGTTGTCGTGTGGGTGTAGTGAAATAATCCAATATTAAAAATACTAACATTTCTTTCCATGTTTTACAAATCCATGCCAGATTTCCCTATGGATTCTAATAATGGCAACTGTAGAGGCGCCGGCATCGGTAAGTACATTTTTATAAAACTGTATCATAAGCTGTAGACTTTCAAATCCTTTAAATATTTAATTAGGTAAGGGGGGGTACTAAGTGATAATTACTTAAATACTTTTGACTGAGAAGACTGTAGATTGTGCTTTTGCATTCCATGGGCAAGTGGGATTTGGGGCTGGCCAGCCTCAAAATGTCCATCAAAGCAAGAGGGCTGTGCTGGTTTTACTAGAAGTTTTGTCTTGAACAGAGAGTTCATTAATAATCATTAAATTGACTTTTCCCTGGCCAAAACCAGTGAAGATAATGGTTCATTCTGACCTTAAAGTTTTCAAATGGAATTCAGTACTCTTTGTAGATAATGGCAATACTCCTGTTAGCCTGAGGAAGTTGAGGGTGGCACCCTCTGAGGCTGGTTTTATTCCAGCATGTCCCCTGTTGCTTTTTATTTCTGTTTTGGTTTTGCTGGAACTGAATAAATCTGAATAAAACCCCTTGAGGATTACCACTGCTTGCCAATGCAAAGAAGCAAAGCCTAGGATGGTAGCTAATAATTGTAGGAATGTGAATATTTTGCTCAAGCAAACCAGTGACTGTAGATTTCCTCGAATTTTATTATGATTCGATCCAAAGTTCTCCTCTTACGTCTTTGTCAAGAATCTGAGACCTGGAAGCTTAGCATTAACCTTTCTTTCCTTCTGCAGAGGTGCTGATGAGCTACAGTGTGCACTGATGTTCACTCCAACAGTATAAACACCTGGGCATGGTTGTTGAACCTAACATTAGATACCTGTACATAGAATTTCAGCATTAAGCTCTGTGACCAAATTGCAAAATTGTATTAGTAACGCCCGGTTTGTAACACAGTTTAAAAATTTGATCAGTAGGTCCCAATATGAAGGCAGCTGTATTGGTGCAAAATATTCTTTAAATCACAGTTTAAACCCTCTAGAAACCCAGGTACAGTTAAAAAAACCTCATAAAAACAAGCCTTTTAACAAGCTTTGCTTTAAATTCTCTTGAGCTTGGGACCATGTCTGGAAGACTTGCTGAAGATATTTGTTACTAACATTAGTATCTTAATAGTTTGAAGCCCTTTTCAATTGTGTCCCATTGAGAAAGCAGGGATTTCCTGCTCGATGCAGACTGTACAAAGAGCATAGAAGCTTCACTTTCAGCATGAAGGCAAAGCTCTCAGTGTCATATATCCAAAATGTGAAGCATATCTTTACTGCTGCCTGTGCAGAGGCATGCAGAAGGCATGTAATTCCAGTGAGTGACCCTGCAGGGGAAGAGGAAAGTTTCAGTCATGTTGTTACTGTTGTGATGCTTTTCAATGACTGAAGGCAAAACCAGACCTAAAAAAAAATCCCACCTAGAAAACAGGGTGAGGATGCACAGAAAACTTGCTGGTGCAATATCTGCTGATATCACTGCCTTTTTTACTGTACACACATGATTTCTGGTGCAGAGTGCTACATCAGTTTGAGCTGACAAACACAGTTGGACCACCTAAAAGGCCGTGTTTCAAAATGGCTTTATTTATATGTTCAATAAAGTGAATTTACAGTTTTGCCATTGTAAATAGAGACCTTTTGTTCATTTGTTTTGCAAGTAGCAAACTGGTGTATTTCTTTTTAAATCCCATTGTCAGCTTTGTGATTTCTGCATCTTATTGCTTGTGCTGCTGTGCATGGTCACAGGGAACAGGACTCATGGGTTATCCCTGCTGGAGACACATTTTATTCCCTGGCAGTGTCTGCTGGCAAAACCTTCCCTCCGAGTCTGCCTGGGGGTTTTTATTTGGGAGACCATTTTACCTCTGTTGGCAGTGAACCACATTGTTTTCTCCTTGATCACATGCTTCTGAAGTCTCTTAGAAGATTTTCTAGAGTGTTTTTTTTTTTTTATCCTTTATCTGGGAAGCATTTGCCAGGTTTTTGCCTGTACAGGTCAGCCAGGTTTTCAGCCATGCATGCACATATATTTAAGATGACACACATGTTTCTTGGTAGCAACCCATGGGGAAAACCATTCTCCTGTGTAGTCCATGTCTTTTGGCATTTACAGAGTGAAGTTTTCAAAGAGAGATTTTGAGCAGTTGGTAGTCTTGTATTTGCTTGGAAAGAAAATTTAATCTCAATCAAAGCCAGTGGGAGCCTCTGCTGCCTGTCTCTGTGCTTGGGATGTACTGCTGTGGTCTCTGAGCTCTTCTGGTAATTCTGGCAGCTTCTGAGGAGGCTGTCAGGTAGGATGGGATTTTCCCTCAGCATCAGTCGATGCAGTACATTTTTAAAGCCACATTTTTTGGGTGTTCCCACTCCCTGGGGGAAGGTCAGCATTTGCCTTCCTTTGAAAATCACTGTACCTGGAATTGGGAGAGACGAATTGGTTCTGGCTCTGACCCTGGCAGAGACGAATTGGTTCTGGCTCTGACCCTGGCAAATGAGTTTTGTGTTAGTTTCTGTATCTCTAAATAGTAATTAGCAATAATGCAGCATTTTGTACAGCTCTTTTAAAGAACGTGGGCAGGTCTATAATTTAGAAATAGAACTAGACTAATAAAATATATTCTAAAATTAATCAATGTTGCCTTGAAACTGAAGGAAATGTGAGACTGTGCTCTTGTCTTGCAATTTAGTTTATTTTATTTTGCCTGGGACACAGTGCAAAGTACAGTAGAGTGGTACAACTTGCTGGACTTGAGTGCTGAGGTGCCTGTGTGAGTGTGGGTCATAAAAGCACATCTTTTATGCTCTGTTTCAAGGCAACTTATAAAAGGAGTTATAATTTGGCCTGCAGTATCCATGAGCTCACAAAGGCAGAAGGGAAGCCAAAAATCACTTCCCTTCTCTGCTTCTGTTATTTTAACACGAGCACATAGAAAAGTCTGTAGGAATCTATATATAGATTCCTGAGGATGTGTTTGAAATTCAAGGAAATAATACACTTTTCTTTTGAAATGTTTTCCTTTTTCCTGTTTTGTTTTTTTTTTTTTTGTATTTTCAGCCACAAAAATTCTTCCAATGGAAAATAAATAATGATTTGAGAAGTTGGTAACCGTATGATTGCATCTCTTTCTTAACTTTTTTTAATACACTGGAATCTTACATAGTAAATAAAAATTCTTTTTCAGACTCTTCATGTTGGATTTACCTAAATCAACAGCTTATATGCATTGATATTTAGAATGATGGTGTATAGAAATAAGATGCATTGAATTTTCTTCCATTTATGCCAAATCAAATGTCAAAATAGATGGCCATGCATATGTAATACTGGGATCTGCTGTTTGAAATTACTCCTCCAAAGCTGCTCTGCCTATTTTCCTAGTGTAAAAAATAGTGTTACTAGTGTAAAATAAGTAAATATTTGCTGTAGAACAACCAGCCCTGAAACACCAGTGGTGTTTATGAACACCACTGTGGGTCTGGAGCTTCAGTGTTAGCATTCCCTGGGCACTAATGAAAATGTTTTTACCTCTCTTAAGAGTTCCCAGCTGTCTGGCATCTGCACCTTTGGAAATGCTACTCTGACAGTGCTCATTTGTGTTGTTTTTTGAAGGCTATCCTGGCCACAAGGGTTGAGAATTTCTCTATTTTCATTAAACTTGGGCTTCTGGGTCATAATAAAATTGTGTAAAATTTACACAATTCCTAATGGTGAATTCAATGGACCTCTCAGCAAGCTGATCTAGTTGAAGGTGTCCCTGCTTATTTGCAAGGGGGTTGGACTAGATGGTCTTTAAAAGTCCCTTCCAATGGCAATTATTCAATTAATGCTTGCTATCCAGAATATTCCAGTTTGCTAAACTAATCTGGGCTACATAGGGTTCAAAAAAATGTTCAGTCTTGAACTACCATAGTATTTTCTTTCTGTGTCTCTCTTATGGTCTGTATTATAAAATGAACAGAAAGGAGGGAATTCCTCAAGTCTTGTGCAGAAGAGAGAACAGCATTGCAAGGATGGAATTACAGCACCTGTGAGCCCAGGATTGAACCTTGAATTGGCTTAAAATGATGATTCTGTCACTTCAGACTCAAAGTCTGTGTGTCTTCGTTGTTGTGTTGTGGTTTGGGTTTGTTTTTTTTTTTTTTTTTACATTTCAGTATGTTAGGTTTTCTCCTAAAAAAAACATTTAAGGTCTCACACAAAATTCCACATCTCCCAGCAGAATGGGCCAGGAATTCCCTGTGGCTTTTTCACTGCAGTAAGCAAGTCAATTCAGTGAAATTTTTGTTAGGTGTGAGCTGAAGGTTTTGGGAAGATTATCACTGAATACATGCCCTTTTCTACCTAAACAAAGCTTTCTGTTTCTGTAGACCGCTGCAAGTGCAAGCCTGTAAAGGCTACCCAGAAGACTTACCTACGCAACAACTACAACTACGGTAAGAGCAGCTGCTTGGCCAGCTCCCAGCTTTTTTTAAGGCTGCAGGAAGGGAAAAGTTCTCATTAAAAAAGCCTGAAAAGTTCACAGTTACTGAAGGTAACCCAGTATTACTTGTTGCAGGAGGAAGGTGTAGTGTGAAACATTTCCAAATTAAAAGGATGGAGGGGATAAGCTTAATATGTTAGCACAAGAATATTTTTGGTGTGTTAGTTCAGTTTTAGTGCTGGCATTTGGGGTTCATGTACTTCTCTAGTGTGAAGAGTGATGCAACAAAAATGATATTGTGGGCTGCTGTGCCTGAACTGCCTTTGTGATTTCAATTATGCTCAGCTTTTGCAGAGGGGGATGTTTTTAGTAGCTTTCATGGCCACTAGCTCTCCATGAGATCCAGCAGGTTCTCTTCCTTCTGGTGTATTCAAGGCAGCTGTGAGCATCTTGCCAGCTGTGTTATGCTGTCAGCAACACCTGTAAAAGTGCACATGTCCTCATCTTCAGGCATTTCACAGCTCCAGGCTCATCTGTTCCTTCATACTGTTTGTTTCAAGCCAATTAGGCCAGTGAAGCCACTGAATACTGACAGGAGCTGAACAATTGGGCCCTTCCTTGCTGCAAAAACCAGGCCTTTTAGAGCATTTAGGCCTTTCCCAGTTACACAGTTTTAAATCACAACAAACATAATCCAACCAGCCACCATACACCACGATGTGAACACACAATGTTTATATAACTTGTTTTTCTGCCTCTAATTCGGCTGAGTCTCTTTCCCATAGCCCTTTTCTGCTTGGCCAAAGTAGCAGGCCTGAACCATGGTTTTACATGGGTAACAAGGCCCTAATTTTATAAGGCTTTACCTCTATGCAACACTTCATTTTTCCCCATTAATCAGGCAAAGAGCCTTAGGCTCAGTGAACTTTAAGGCTTTATTTAAATGACAGCAATTGTATAGTAAATATTACAATTACACATTTATAAAACCAGAGTCAGACAATCTTTTAAAAATAGTTGCTGTTAAAAGCTATAAAATTATAACTGTATTCAAAACACTTTTTTGGTCACTTGTCAGTTTTATGGTGTTTTGGTGGATTTGTTTGTAAAAAAATTAGAGTGACTATTCTCTAGTCAGAAACTGCATATGACAGAGTCATTGAGCATGTTCCTGTCCATTTTCTCAAGATTTTGAAATTAAATAGCTTTCAAAAGGCATTTGAAATACCTCCAAACTAAAGCAATATTTTATTTTGAGATCTTAAAAGGTTTTGAGAAAGGGGGATTACTTAGGGTAAATTGTGTGTACTGGATGCACAATTTAGTGTTTGTTGGCAATGTTATTTAATGTGCCTGGAATACATGCTGGTTAATGATATGGGCAGTGCACATGAAGTGAGATGTGTAAGTCAGTGGTTTTCTTTCTTTTATATTACCTTTTTCACACAGGAGACATTTGGAATGTGGGGTATCTCCTATTTTTAGTGTGGAAAGGGACTCTTGTTTGCAGGCTGTGAATGATGTGGCATTCTTTAGAGCATGACCTCTGGGTTGGCTTTGCATTTCCATGCGGTATCAGTTCACTGGTCACCATGAGAGAATGAAAAGCTTTGCCTTTGAAAGGGAACCTTTCCTCCTGTGCAACTTAAGGCAAAAAGAAAGGGTGGGAGAGGAAACAATTAGAGAGATCATTGGGTCAAGATCAGGAGCATTTGGAGTTCATAAAGAGCAGAGCAGATTAGTGCTGGGTCACTGGAGAGAATAAAAAAAAGGTAAGGGCCTGTCATCCAGCAGAAGTAGTGATATGAGAAGTTTTAATGCTCATTCACTTTTTGTGTAAGGTTGAGAGTGATAAAGTTTGCTCATCTGTGCTGCAGGTAGTCAAAGAGGGAACAGTCACAGCTCAAGGGAGAGGCAGAGCATACAAGAAATAGATTTAATATATTTAATGTGGAAAGGGTGAAGAGGAAAGGAAGGAAGGAAGTGAAAGCCCAGCTTTAACAGGATGTAAATCCAACTGGTACATAACTCCTGCTCCTGACCATATTAAGAGACATACTGAGCTGCCTGGAGCTCCTTGGTGGAGGGTGAAGTAATGAAGGGAAGAGATGGAGGCAGAGACATTGCAGGAGTTATCAGAGCTAAGCTTCTGATAAAGGACCATGCAAAAGACTAATCCCAGAGGTCACCAAGAACAGTTTAGGAGTGACCTGCATTATCTGCTGCTTCTAACAATGCTCTTTGTGACTTTCCCCCAGTCATTCGGGCTAAAGTGAAGGAGGTGAAGACTAAATGCCACGACGTCACCGCAGTAGTGGAAGTAAAGGAGATCCTGAAATCTTCCCTAGTGAACATTCCAAAGGACACTGTAAACCTTCACACCAATTCTGGCTGCCTGTGCCCACCTCTCAGTGCCAAGGAAGAGTACATCATCATGGGCTACGAGGACGAGGAGCGCTCCAGGTAACTTTGTGTGTCATGGCTTGGTGCTGCTGTTCCCCTGTCATGAATCTGAATGTCAGAGCCAAAAGGAAGGAAAACTTGGTGTGGGTGTCTGGACATCTCCTTCATGGTGCTCAGGGAGGAGGACAAGGCTCTCTGCAGGCACAGAGATGTTAAGTCTTGTGTGTGTTGGGTTGTGTAGCCTCCAGATGGAGTAACTGGTTGTCTCTGCTGTGTAGGTTACTCTTGGTGGAAGGCTCCATAGCTGAGAAGTGGAAGGAACGTCTTGGGAAAAAAATAAAGGTAAGAAAATACCTCACCAGAAGTCAAATGTTGGGGGTGCTATAAAACATCTACCTGTCTTTTCAATATATGGGAAGAAAATGCATATGCTGCCTCCTGTTAATTAATATAATGTATCAAAAACTAACTTGGTGTGTTATTTGCTGGGTTACTTAGAACTGCATGCTGAGTAAATTAAAGGGATACATTAAATTACTCCAAAGTATCCCAGTGTAGCAGCAATCAAAACCTCTGTCTCAAAAAAGCAAATTGCAGGAGTCTTTTAACTCTGTAGGCAAGCTGTGTGTTCCACAATACATGCCTGTTTAGTTGGGGTGGTGATATGAATTAAAGTAAAACAAACAGATCAGGGGCTTTTCAAATGTTTTTCAGAATCAGTCAAGGTTATACTTTCAAGATTTAATATTATTTAAATGGAATTCTGCTTTTGCCAAATTTTGTGGATTAGCAACTATTTAAAATTAATTATTTTCAATTAACTATTAAATTAAGTATTTTAAATCAATCTTCCTGACTTGGCTGAGGGAGGAACCTGATGGGGAAGTCATGTGATAGCAATGAGCTCAAATGCAAGCCATGCATTATAGAATCATGGAATGGTTTGGGGCTGGAAGACCCTAAAGCCCATCTTTTCCACCCCCTGCCATGGCAGGGACACCTTCCACTCTCTCAGGATGCTCCAAGACCTGTTCAACCTCGCCTTGGACACTTCCACAGCTTCTCTGGGCAGCCTGTGCCAGGGCCTCACCACCCTCACAGACAAGAATTTAAATAATATAACATAACATAATATAATATAACATAACATAATATAATATAATATAATATAATATAACATAACATAATATAATTTAATATAATATAATATAATATTTGTCACTTTAAAGCCATTACCCCTTGTCCTGTCATTACATTGTCCTGTAAAAAAGTCCTTCTCCATCTCTCTTGTAGCCCCTTTAGGTACTGGAAGGTACTCTGAGATCTCCCTGGACCCTTCTCCAGGCTAAGCAACCCCAGCTCTCTATATCAAAATACATCTCTTTTTTTCTGACTAAAGTATTTTCTAATGCCTTCCAAGTTCTGGAAGGATTACTTTTTTATGTTTCGATGCACTGCAAAGTATCAGTGGTTTTGACATTATTATGAGTGTCACTTTGTACAGAATATTCTTATTTTGACACAGTTTCTCAGCCATTGCCATAATGGTTGTGCCTGTACAAACCAGTCTTCTCCTCCACTCAGCTCTTTCTTCATCAGTGTGAGGGTCACTAGCAGGAGAATACTGTTGTGTTTATAAAAGCAAGATTTTCTGAGCACATTTCTCACATCAGTGGAGATTACAGGAGTGAGAAGGTACAGGGATCTTATTTCAGGTTGTTGTTTGATTTGGCAGAACCCTAGGAAATCCAGTGCCACAGAGAAAATATCACATTGCTGCCATGGGCTGACTTCTGCTCAGTTTCAGTTCATGGGTGGTAACATCATTTGTTGGATTTTTTTGGGGGAGCACACTTACCCTCTCACTTACTTCCTTGTTGTCTGTTATTGAGGACACTGCCACGTCACCACCCACTTATCATCATCATTTTCCTTTCCAAGAACATCAGCATAAATATAGTCATATCAACATAAATATAGTTGTACCAACTATATTTATTACATGTTTTTTTTTTTTTAATGTGATATCTGTTGCCTGCAAAACAGATAAATAAATAAATTACATAAATAATTAAAATAAAAATAATTAAAACTATATTAAAATAATTGGCTATTAAAATAGTTGCTGAATAACTATTAAAAATAGTTAAAAGCTAAATAAATTAGAACTGTATTCAAACACTTCTTTGGTCGCTTTGTTAGCTTTTTTAAATCAACAAAAAAAAAAACCCTTGGCTGTTTTTTCATGATTAGCTTCATTTAAATTTCACTATTTCAGAGGTGAGTCCCCCTTGTGCTGAAGCCATTATTTCACCCACAGAGGCTACAAGAAAGCTGGGATTTAAATGACTATTTAAATGACTTTCCCCAATAAGCTCTCACTGCGCCCTTGAGCCCGGTGCGGGGTGCCATGGTAGAAACACCAACTTTTGTTAAACTTTTGTTTTGTTTCTCTGCTCTTGCTGTTGTTTGTGGACACGTGGTTCTGTGATCTCTCTGGTGATTTCTTTGCCTTTCCATCTGCAGCGCTGGGATCAGAAACTCCGCCACCTTGGGAAGGGGAAGGGAGAGGCTGGACACAGCGACTCGGCTCCCAAGCCTGGCAATCCCAGCAGTGCCCAGCAGCCACGCAGTTAAACCTGGGCTGCTGCACGCTGACATGCAGGGGGACTGTCTACCAAGACTTCATTGTTGGAGCAGCAAAGGAGGAATTGCACTATTGCACGTTATATTCTATTGTTTACTACAAAATAATGTTTTAGCTTTTATTAGTTTTTATTCTCCCTCTCGTTTTCCAACTTTTTTTCTTTTTGGATATGTGCAAGTTCTGGAAATGTATATTTTTTTGTAGAAAACTGCCCTTATGAGATGAAGAAAGACAAGGACATGTTCAATCTACCTTTTTTATCCCCTGAATCTTCTTTGGGAGAAAGTTCTGATGCAAGCAGGAATGAAATCCGGCAAAGACCAGTGCTTAAAGTCATGACTCACACTGGCTTTCCCTGTTCACTCTTTCTTGGTCACTGTTTGCTGAAACTTGCTCTCTTTTGTGTAGGTTGTTATTTGGGCTTAAGTGTGTCATTTTTTATATTTGAAATATAATTCTGAAATATATAATTTTTTTTTTTTGTTAAGAGAACTGTTTGAATCAATACAGTTTTCTTAAGTTTTCTTACAGATAAACCACTTGTATAAGGCAGAGTCTAAATCTTTCCTGCAACAAACACAATGTGCATTCACACAGGGAACCTGGGTTTTCCAGTGCTTTGGACCTTGAAGGAAAGATTGTCTAGTTCTGTAACCATAATTTATAACATGTTTCTTCTCTTATAATGGCAGTTTTTATCCCCTTTTCTCAGCTGAGTTATAGGAGTAGACAGACTTGCCAGGCCTGCTTCTCAGTACAGCTGCAGTTTTAGCCTTTTGATTTTGTGTTGTTATTCTTAAGTCCGTGCCTACATAAACAAATGTTCAATACATATGTCCAATAAAAGAATTGTAGTCACCAACACAGACCTTACCTGACTTCTGAACCAACATCATACTGCTAATACTACTCTTGAAAATATAAAAACAAAAAAAACCCCTTAATTTTTGTGTTTTTGTAGAATTCTTTGCTGATGGCGCCAATATATTCGAAATTATTTTTGTTTTTCCTGCTCTCCCATGCTTAAAAGAAATTAAAATGGGGTACATCAAAGAGCAATCCTCTTTGGCATAGTCTGCAAAGGGGAACTGGCTCTACTTACAAAGAGCAAATTACTGTTGTGTTCTAGGTGTCAGTACTGTCTTTAGGGCTGCCTTTCAGTAAGAAAATAGTGTTGAGTTGTTGGGTGGTTTGAAAATATGATGATGAGAAGTAGGACCAAAGTATTTGGTATCTTACAGTAATGCTGTTTTTAAGATTTCAGTTAATAACCAGCAGTCTTGGGGCAGGTTTTCCACCAGGCTGGATACCAAGAAAGTTTGAAAAGAACAACATCCTGCAACACTCAAATTTTTATTTATAATTAAAGGAATAATTTAGGGGAAAGATTAGCTCTGAAAGCTGGCAGAAGGATATTAATCCTCCAGGTATTAAATCCCCAGTATTTTCTCAGAATCACACAGATCACAGAATTATTTAGGTTGGAAAAGAGCTGCAGGATCATCAAGTTCAAGGGTTGATTGATCTCCACCACGTCAACTAGACCAGAGCACTAAATTGCATGTCCTGTCTTTTCTTGAAGAGCTCCAGGGATGGTGACTTTAACAAGTATTTCTACTGAGTTGGTAAATAATGGAACAATTTGTTAAGTTGTGTTTAAACCTCAATGAGAAAAAAGTGAGCAGCATTTGTAACAGTCACACATGTCATGATATTACAGTGAAAATATTTCCCTAATTGGAAGTCACCAAATTGCATTTTTTCCAAAGGAATTAAGCATTTTTCATTAACATATAAAAAATGAGGGTGGCATGATAGGCTTCTTGGAAGAGGCAAGAGGCATTTTTTGCAATCCCTTGATTAACTGAAGAGCCTTTTGCATACTCTGACACTGCTTTTCTGTTTTGTGGCCTGGAGCACACTGAAATATGCTTTTGCTCTAAAGCTGTACTTGCTGCTTTACTACATCTGTGAAGGCTTTATGACAAACTAGACTACTCCAAAACTGCTGCTAAAGTTAGACTACTCTGAAACTGGTGTTTTAAAGTGACTTTATTCAAATTATAGTCTTATTAATTTAACATAGTCGCACATTATTTTCTTGCTTCTTCCCCAGGAAATCCCTTTCTGCCCTTTTTGTGCACATTTTTGATCTGGTCCTACATTAAGCTTTCAAAAATGCACTATATAGCACATTCTTCTGTAGAAGCATGCAGCCCTCAGCACAGTGTTTTCAAAGGCATCCACTTGGGGTGTGACTTTGCTTCGATTTGTAATGTTTTTTGTTCCTCCAGTTTTATTAATTTATGTAAACAATGAGTCAAAAACAACAACACAGCTGCTCCCATTTGAAAACATCACTGTGATGCGTATTGGATATTGTAGCTTGGTGCTTCCATTCTCATCCACACCTGGTTCCTGTGTTTTCCAGATGTGCTACCAGCACCAACAGCTCTGCCTGTGCCTGTCACACTCAGTATAGCAAGGTGAGCATCACCACTGAATCAGCAAATCCTATTGTCAATCCTATTTAATTATTGGGCTTTGGATTATTTTTTTCTTTCTTTGCTTAAGTACTCGGTGAGTATCAGTTAATGTGAGAAGGAAAATCTGCTGCACAAAAAGCCAAGAAAACCAAACTTCTGAGTTATCATGTTTAGTACTGTCCTCCAGTCCTCACTCTCAAAGCCTTTGGAAGAAATCAAGGTTTCTTATTTTACATCTTGCCTAATTAGGTCCCTGTTTGAGATTCCCTGTCAGGAGAATTAATCCATGATGTCAGAGGTTTATATCCAAAAAGGAGACAGAGGATTGCTGTAACTTTATTTGAACAAAGGGAGAGGCCATGGGACATTTCCCATGGGGTCTCTGGAATTGCTGGAGGATGCAGCCTTCTTTTTATCCCAATTTCCTGACCACATTTTCCTCTCTCTTTCCCCATCGGCTGAGGTACTTGAGAGGCACAGACTTCCCAAAGCCCCTAATACAGATCCATCTTTTCTTTGTATCTCTGTTCTTTTTAAGTCCAGGAATTTAGCATAGCCTTGGGTGACAGTCTGTGTCAATTAGAGGAATTAGTGGAATTCCTCTGGAATTTATGGTCCCTCCCATTGCTTCTTTCACCTATCAGGATCTGGCTTTATCTACCAGCAGGCTCACAGCTTGTTTGGAAAGACACATCCCTCTCATTCCTTTCACCTGAACATCCCATGCAATTTAGAAGTAGAGGCTATGGTGTGAAAATGTGGTGCTTTTGTAATCTTCCCCAAGCTGGGTGGAGCTTTGCTTTATATTCCCAAGTCCTGCACTCAAACTGGGTCAGTGTATGCTAAAACAGGTAGTGTTTTATTCAGTTAATTTTTTTTGGTAAAAGTCCTGCTTCCCATCCAACATCTACATTCCTCTCTTAAAATAAGATACTCCTACTTCATCTTTCAATCCCCATAGCTAAAGCCAAAATAAAAATATTGCTGTGTGAGGATGAAGAAGAGGAAAATGTACAGTCTGGGAGCAAAGCTACCTCTGTCACTGCATAGAGAGCAGCACCTGACCTCAGGTGCCACCAGGGACAAGAAGCAGCTGTTTCTGTCATAGCCTGTGCTTCTCAGTGCAATGCTGGTAAGTGATTCTGCAGTTCTTGCAGGGCTCTGCCCTCCCTGGAGCCTAGCTCTGTCACTTGCAGGAAAAAAATACCTTGAATTGCTTCAGAGCACTGGCTGCACCCAAGCTTCTAGTGCGGGCTCTGGTGGTGTGTCCCTTTTAAATGACTTTCCATATGCTGGAAGGAAGGTTGATTTCACTTTCTTTCCCAAGATCTTACTGAACAGTTTAGAGACAGTGTATAGCTTTTAATCTTGCCTTTTTAGCTGCAGTGAAACTATTTGAAGGTCATGGCCAGTCCATTACTTTTGTAAAAAAAATTGTAGCTATGAAAAAAGCGCTCTAGTCATTCAGGGTATTTCCTTGTTTCATTGCAGAACTTGTTTGTTTGGAAGCAGTACTAAAATCCTATAAAACGAGGGCAAACTGAGCAGCATGTGATAGCCAGCTTGTTAAATGTTGTACAGTGTGGTTATTTTACTGGGTGATGCACATGATGCACATACCTACACATGCACATGTGACCCAGTATCATGGGATGTACAGAAGGGTTCATTAAAACCTTGCCTTTTCCATATCTGGGTCAGATTAGAGCTGAAAGAAAATATGCAGCTTAAAATCTTTGTGAATAATTAGCCTGACAAGTTGGTGCAGCTCAACAGATGAGGAGGGAGGAGGAATAAACACCAAAGTTGCTTATTCACAAGCAATGTCCTTAATTTCTGGCAGGGGTTCACCCATGGCTTTAATAAATCTGCTCCAGACATGTTAGCAGTGGCATGAAAATAACAGAGCTTGATTTCAGCCTGGGAATTACTATTTTGGAGTATAATTCCTTCCATTGAAGCCAATAATTATCAAAGTCTGTAGGGTGAAAACAACTTGTACATTTTGAGAAGAGCACAGTTGAATGAAGAGCACAGAGAAAAGAGCCAGTGAGAAGAACACAGCTCTGTCAGCCAGGGTTGCAGGGCTAAACTGGAATCAGAGTATTCTTTTTTTTTGTAATAGTCTAGCATATAGAGTCTGAGAGAAGCATCAGTTCAGCATAGTATCAAAGATGGGATGAAATACATCTACCCTGAGTGATGATGCCTTAAGTTTTAGCTTTCATATTTTTCATATTCTGTGTTGCCTAGGTGTGTAGTTTTTGAGCTTCATAATAAGTGTTAGTGAGCTCTCTTCACAGAGTAGGTAGAGCCTTTTACAATTCCTAAATTCCTTTTCTAGCTTGATACCAAGGACAATCATCACAAGTTTCAGACCCAAAAGCATAAACAATGATGGACTGAAGAGAGAAAATACAAAGGATGGGACTTCCTAACATGAAGCTGTAATTGGACAATTAACCCTGATATGCAGATGGACCAGAACTTATAAAAATGTGAGACCTCGTGACCAGTCATCCATTTTATGACCATTTTTAGGTCAATCTTGGGTGTAGCCCTGGCCAGGCTCTTGTACTGCCCAAGGTGTATCCTTTAAGGCCTTTCAATAAATACCTACTTCATTCTTAACTCTGTCTGGCCTCTCTTCTAGGTCAGCCTTCTCAAGGCATCAGTGACACCCTAGGCTTGCTTCCTCATTCCCTGGCACAGCAACATAATTTAAAAACTAAAAAGTCCTGTCTGTCAGACAGTCCAACAGCTCCCTGTCCTGCAGGAGAAATCCTAGTAAGACATTCTGTCATGCATGGAGGGGTATTTGCATTGCCTCTGGTACAGGATATTTGATTACTATTCACCTTGGGCAGTGCTGTTGGAGCTTGGGAAGATGCAGGGCTCAGGTGATGACTGATGTCTTGCTGCACATGAGCTGTGCAGTTGCCCTTTCCTTAGGGTAAAAGCTTTATGGATAAGATGCATTCCTGAATGGTTGCTGTCAGGGAGGGTGACACCAAAACACAGCATAGCCAGAAAACTGGTTCAGTGTCACTGACAGCGCCACTCCAACACAGAGGTCAGCTGCAAAAGTGCTTGGGCTTGACCCTCTTTGCCAAAATGTTCTTGTTCTGTCTGCTTTGTGGAAAGAAAGGAAAAAACATAGCTTTTTTTCCTGTAGGGTCGTTGGGTGAGATGTGTTTGGCTGCCCCTCTGACTTGCCACACTGGGGATTGCAGTCCCCTATCCTGAGCACTGGGTTATTTAGTGCCTGGTTCTTCCCACATTTCTCAGCCTCTGGAAAGCATCTGCCTGTGCTCCAAACCTGGAGCTGCCTCACACAGGGCTTCTTGGACATTTGCTACACCTCAGTTTTTCAGGAGAAATATGTGC